ACCCCCCCCCCCCCCACCTGCAAAAAGTACCCCCTCACTAACAGTACCTCATAAAAAATATGCTTCTTTTGAAAAAGCAGGAAAGCTGCTTTCTTCACACTTAAGCACTGAGTCAAATGAAGAAAAATGTAACATTTACAAGTCAGTTTTTATTTTCACTTCAAAGTATTGTAATTTCAATATCACAGAGAAATAAGAAAAGATTAACTTTCCTTTACAGAACATAATATGACGACGAACACAAAAACTTCTCATATCCTTCCTGAAATAGAAAGAGGTGCAAATTATAGGAAAACAAAATAATTCAACTTTCTTTTGCTTAGCCCCTTTTGAAAAGGCCGTCTACAACATGCATTTATCAAATATCAGTAAAGCTAAAAAAAAAGCTGATTTCTTTCCAGTAGCATGCAAAAGCATAGATTCCTCATGAATGAGTGCTCAAGGTGTGACTCCCTTCAGATAAAACACCCACTGGACATTCGAATTGCCCCCAGCTGAGCGAGCACAAGACACAATCAATTTGCCCATCACTGCTGCTTTTGAGCCGCTGTCATTGCCATCAAATCCAACCACGATACGGTGGTCCTTGTGTGCCCTGATAGACTCCCCTTGTTTGGTCAAATGGAACAGTGGATTGTCCACCTGAAAAAAAAAGGTACCACATATATATATGAGTATGAAATAAATATGCTTATATGGATTCTAAATATATATAACGTTGAAAAAGCAAAAACCCAAGGCTGAGACAAAATATAGGTCTATAGATAGTCTATTACCTAACAAGAACAAAAATCAAAGAAAGGTTACAAGAACATGACAATGTGCTATGAAGTCTTTACAAATTTATAGTTCAGCAATAGCAAAAGCCTAACAAAAAGACAAAGAACAGAAATGTTTTGAGAACAGGCAACATACGAACAACTGATAGATTTGGACTACTGTACACCAAGATTTTTTCGGGCGCGCTCTTTTTCTTTTTTCACACTACACATCTCATTTTCTCTGCAAACATTTTGAATTCACAATTTAAGTCTCCCAGTGTCATGAATGTTGTCTGACATTCTCCTAGATGTTTACCAGTATAATCAATCTAATTTCTTTAAGTTCAAGTGCAGTTGAAATCCAATGCCCTGTGGTGCAGGACGCAAGGTCAAAGAAAACACCACCAAAATGCTTTATACATGACGTGGATCATGTTGTCTACATTTTATCACAACACACAGAGATATGTCTTAACATAGCAAGTTCTGTGTGAATTCTTCGAAAAGTGATGAACACTAGTACGCAATATGAATTTTATTTTTGGATACCGATACAACAGCACCCCTTTGCCTCTTTAAAAATTTTTGAACAACTTGAATATTTTCAGATTTCTTTAAATTAAAAATGGTAAAAACTGTGAATTCCAACAACATGCGAAAAAACCCTGTAGGCAATTGTTGTTGTTTTTTGAGGCTGGGAGCGGCTTGCCGAAGATAAAGAGCAAAGTAAAGGAAAAGAAAACAAGACTTCAGCAAAATACTTTTTTATTATTACCGGTAATCGTAATCATTAGAAACAAAGTTTCTAAAGTCTATTCTGACCACAGGAGACATAGACTATCAATGTGAAAAATGTTTGGACTTTCTTTATGTTCCTGCATCATGTACAACGGATTCTACTTGCCTGGAAGGTGAAGGGAGTGGTTGAGCTAAACACATTCCTGAACATGATGGGAGTGGTAGAACCGGCCTTCACTATGAAAGGACCCTGAGGCTTGGGAGCGGTGCTGGTTCCAAACAAAGGGAAGACGTACTCGCCACCCAGCTGTGAGGTCACGGAGAGCATTGCCCTCTGCTCTCCAAGTTTGGATGGTTCAAACACGACCTCCAAGGCCACCTCTGTACCTCCCGTGGAGCCAGGCGCTGCGGCCACTGACTTGTCTACATGGAAGTCGGAGTTATCAATCTGAAACAGCAATGACAATGGATATCTTAGAAAATTTATTGACTTCATGACAAAAAATCTGCATAGGTCAATTACAAAAGGAATGGACAATTCCACGTGATGTAGGACCCAAGTTAAAATTCCATGTAGGGAGAATTTTTATCGAGCATCTCGGCCTTTCTGCTGGGAGATTGTATCCCTTTCATCCCAGGTTGGCCTTTACAGGCAAGGTTGAAGCCTTCCTCCGAAATAAGAATACCCTCGCCAAAAAGCAAAGAAGAGAGTTTTGAATTCTATTTATACTGCATCAAAAAGGACAGCAAACTATGATATTGACCACAAAGTATAATAGTAGGTTCTTTAGATCTTGGGGGAAAAAACAGAGACACAAACCTTGCAGACATAGTCAGTCCTTTGTTTGGCAAAGTTGAGAAATTTGGCCAGTTGCATGTTACTGGAGCCCAGGCCAGTTCTGAAGTAGATGGCTTTCTCCGGAGCTCCAGGGGTGGCTGTCAAAGTCAGGTCGTAGGTGTACAGACCCAGGTCAGAGCAGTTCAGCTCCAGGCGTCCTTGCACCTCTCCAACCTTCAAAGGCTGGTACTCAAAGCTGAAGTGACCCTGCATTTACAAGAATTGTTTCAAAGTAAGTTTCATTAAGAGGAACACATTAACATAATTATGGGCTTTTAAAGAGAGAGAAAATGAGATGATATACAAAAGCCATAAAGGGAAGGTTTGCATAATTTCAGAATTTTTTGCATAATTTCAGATTTTTTGTTGCATAAAACCACAGGGACAGGCAAGACGCAGCCTACCTGTGAGTTAGCCGGCACTGCCAGCTGGTTGGGAATGAGGACCTCCGGCACAGAGCAGCTGATGGAGAAGTTGACTTGGTAGGACAGAGGGTTCTCCACCGTCACCGTGTGAGGCACACTCTGCCGCACAGGCGTCGACAGCTGGATGGCTGAGATCACCCCTGGCTTTGTGGCGCGGAAGGTCACCTCGTAAAATTGGTACTCCCCAGTTTGCTCATTGACAAATGTCACCTGGAAGCAAACATTTTATGGTTGTTATATTTGCAAATTTCTGTTCGGCATAGAGTCTGTGCTTTTACTTTTAAATATTACTGCATAAATTAGAGGTGGGGCACCTGGTCCCTTGACAGAACACTGAACTGAGAAAAAATGTAGCGTAATAGAATGAAAGCAATGAAGCTCTCTGTGTCTCATAAGACTATTGCCCCAGGCTCCATCTATCTGCTGGTGTAAACTTTGGAATAAGAACCAGTGCAACAGGCCTTCATTTTGCACTATAAAAGAATATAAAAGGAAGCAAACAATTCAAAATAAGCTTCAGTAGTACTGCAATACACTGAGAGGCTACAATCACATGTATTCAAAAGAAGAGAGGGTGGCTAACCTTGAGCATGGTCTGCCCCTCTCTGTAAGCGTAGAAAGACAGCTTGTAGTCCTTCTTGCTGCTGGCTGGGACGTCCACATATTCATGGCCTTTCACTGATGTCCCTGGGTCCAGTTTGTCCGGCCTAAGAGACTCTGTTCGCACCCTGAATCTGCAGACAGCGGTAAAATATACAAAGTCAGATAATATCTTTCGACAAAAAGAAGAAAAATCCCTGCAGAGTATTAAATACTTATATACCAATAAGGAAGAAGAAGTGTATGAATATTTTTAACTAACAAGTTTTCAGATTTTTTGCATCTTCCTAGAACTAAAATGTGACCTTTGTGTCCCTGAGAAAAAATAACATGTACCATTTCACCAATGCTGCAACTAAAATATTCTGACATTTTGTCAGAATTCCAAGGATTTACACTTACCTTTGAGGCTTCTTGAGCCAGTTGGTCACAGTGAGCAACTCAGTGTAGCCAGTTTTGCACGGCACATCCCGCTGGATTTTGGAAGTGGCTTTAGGTGGGTCCGATGAGCCTGTCAGGTTGAACAGCAGGCCTGAGCCATCCGGGAGCGGGAAGAAAATTGAGCCCTGGGGAAAAGAAGTTCTGTTACACGTGTCCACTGCTCTGCCTAAGACTCTACTACACCATTTTGAAAAGTGACATATGACCGAGTCTTGCAATGAGCATCCGATATACCGTCACCAATGACATAAGTGAATTGAGATAAGTGCATCATACATTAGAATTTCAACTCATTATCAAGACACCTGATCTCAGAAAATCTGGCCATTATCACAACTTCCATTAAACCAACTATAGTTTTGTCATCAATACTAACTATTTTATTCAAAAGTTTTCTGAACCTTATTCAAGCCAATACCTTTCTCTGCAGTACAATTCACAAAACAAAATTCAGGAACAAAGTGTTGCAAAGTTATACAGACTTTGTGTCTACTTTTCTTTTTTTTTTAAAAACAAACATGTTTCTATGTCTAGTTAAGAAGGAAGAAAAAAATTACCTGTGACTGACATAGAACCACAAGTCCTTGGATGTTGCAAATAGCCATTAAAATAGAATTTTTCCTCTTTCTGTCAGCATAGATTATCATCTTATCTACCGTACACCCTCATCCGCTTTGTTCTCCCAGTTCTTCTCTTCCTTTTTTTCTTCTTCTACTATCATTACTACTGCCATTATTGCATTTTCTGTTTCAAACTTTAGCCTTCCTTGTTGTCAAAAGTTTCCATGTGGGTGGTTGGCGGGTGCTCTGGGGTTGTTTGCTCCTTCTTTCCTATCAAACATCTATCGTCCTGATCTCTCCTCCTTCTCTTTTGTGTCTGTTACTCTCTTGTAACACCTCTAATCTTAGGCACTTATATGACGTTCTTGTGTTGCAAGTGCCATAAAACGCTTACTAAAACTTTTTAAAAAGCTCCCATACCATGTGCTTCTTGTTCTCGGAGGTCATGGTGAGTGGCTTGTAGGTGAGCTCGTAGCCCTTTGTCTGCTGCGGCTCCACCATGAAGGTGATGGGGCCCGTCCAGTGTTCTCCATCGATGATGGGCTTGAGGTTCCACAGCTGGTTGCTCTTGTTGGGGATCATCAACTGTTTGGTGTCTGACTGCCGCACCACGGCCTGGAAATTCTGAACTTCCTTGACAGGTGGAATGCCTGTGCACGAGCCTGTCAGCGTCAGTGTCACAGGCTTGTGAGGTCCCCCGTCTAAGAGGCATTTCAGTTTCTGAGAAGGAAAGTATACAAAATAGAAATCAAATATCCATTTTGGTATTTTGCTTAAACCATTTGAGAGTAATTCACGATATAGAGAGATGCACACCAGAACATTTACACAATTTTTTAAAACACTGTAGACTTTTATACTACAATAGAGTTAAGGTAGTTTTAATTTAGAGTTTTAAAAAAAAGGGTACAATTGACTGTGTGGTTCACAAATTCCATTCATTGGTCACAAACAAAAAAAAAAAAGTTATTTTCTTTCCAAATTCATGTCCTTGTATCAGGATGTACTGTGTGAGTCTGTGTGTGTGGGAGCGCACATAGATCCAAACAAGCAAAAAATAAAAATAAGGATTTAATTTAGTGTGCTTGGGTCTAACGCATACACCTTTAACTATTGTAGGTTTAATTAAATATCCATTTTTGATGTGACTAATTAAAGTGGGTGGAGAATTATGAAAACCTCTCCAAAAGCCCAAGGTTTACAGAAAATCTTTTGCAAGGGATTCAAACCAGTATAACTGACATCATAGTAAAGCAAGCTGTAAACTGAGCCAAAGACCTTCTACGGGGGATTCCAACACACAAGAAGTTAAATTAATTTTTGGACGATCTCTTACATCATATCTGACATCTCCACTGATGTTCTGTGGGTGGAACTCCACGTCAAATGTGACATCCATGCCGGGTGTGATGTAGCCTTCTTCAGGGCTGATGGAAAAGTCTGGCTTGAAGCGCTTTACGTCCCAACGGAACCTATTGTACGATACAGTATCTCATAGTTTATGACATTTCAATGTTACCAGGTGGGTGGAATAACTCTGAATTATTTTGAGATTTACATATTCCTTAATTTCTTTTCCATGCCAATCTATGTTATATGGTACGTATTAGTGGTATTCGCCAAAATAAGGAGAGAATAAGATTAGTCTGGAAGAAGTTCACGTACTGGGCACAGTGAAATGAAAATATGAAGATAGAGATTCACAACAACAACAAAAAAGAGGATAATCTGACAGCCTTTGAAATATGTGACTGTGTTTCTAACGTAATTCAAAGAGTTTACATATATTCACTATCATGGTTGCTGTAAAACATATTTTCATACTTAATTAAATATCAAAAGTGAGTACATAAAATTTGGATTTTTGCACCCATTGTCACCTAATTGTAATTACTTGGACTAAATTCAAACAACTATGACAAAATATTTGAGGACGAAGATTGAAAAGTTTCAAGTCAAAACCAGTTATGTATCAGACAGGAAAAAAGTTGCAAGTACATGTTTTTAAGATACTTCAGTATTCACAATGCCTTTAGTAACAGAACGTTGCTTTGATTCTCTACTTAGAGGTGTTCTCTGAAGAACAAACTCAATTGTCAAATAGTAGCTTGAAAGGTTAAAAAAAAATCCCTTGTGTCAGCACACAACACCAAGTATTCTGCTCTACCTGTCCCCATCGTTTTATGCAAGAAAAATTATGAAATTATGCAAACTGAGTCCAAAAATGTGACATTATGCGATTCTGTTAATTTTAACAAAGAATGATAAAGGAAAATAATCAGAAATTATGCATAAAATGATCAAATTTTGCTAAATTATGCGGGGTGCATAAAACCACGGGGACAGCTCTACATAGCTTGATATGTACACACAAGAAACATGACTTGTTTATATGAAATTAAAACATTTTCAGATCTGGCACATAACAACTTTTGTCATATACATCCATTTATTCAAGTATTAGAATGGCAACAAAAAACTATAGTGTTTATTCCATAACATAGCACTATCCTAAAGGCCCCTACAACTTCAGAATAACAAAAATGAAAGTAAATATGTGCACAGGATGCCGTCCTCACTTGGTGTTCATGTCTCCAGTGTTGGACATGACCAGCTTGCGACTGCTGCTGCTCCGCTGGTAGACCGTGCCAAAAGACAGAGAGTCGGAGTCCAGAGAGATCTCCATGCCCAGACAAGATCCCTTGACCACAAAGAGAGGCTGGGACATTCCAGCACATTCCAAAAGAACCTGGAAGACAGGACAAAAGATGAACTATGAACGAGATTTAAAGACAATCACAATCTCACAAAAACTCTAAAAAGTAATTCTAATAATTGAACCATCGTTACAGATGATAAATACCCTACAAATTCAATAACCATTTAATAGATTGAATGATAATTCATCTAACATCACGGTATAACATAATTCTATAGAATGATAAATCATAATCTAACATCATAGGATAACATAATTCTACAAAATTGATAATTTCACAACTGCACTATATTTACAAAGAAATCATGAAATGTAATATGGTTTTTGTTATTTTTTTGAGTTTCCCTTCTAGAACTATGGTTATTAATTGCATTCATCATGCTTTTTCACACTCTTGAAAACAGATCAAATCGAAATTATCAAAGAGACAAAGGTAACTTATAAAGAAAGTAAAGGTTTTCTTTCAGAAATGAAATAAACAGAACAGAGTGAAAGAAGAAGAAAAGGAAGAAGAAAAAGAAGAATCAGACACAAGCATGAGGCCAAATGCCCGACTGACCTCTTCTGTGAACTGAGGGATTCGGGCTTTGGGTCTGAACCAGACCTCGACTTTCGTAGTTCCCCCACGAGCATCGAGGGTTATCTGATCCTTTGGGCTGATGGCCAGAACCTCCTTGTGCTGCAGAGCTGGCTCCGTCGGTGTCAGAGCCAGATTGAAGGTGATGGGCGCAGGGCTGTTATTCACAATGGGGATGTATTTCTTGACTGTGTCCCCAACAACTCTGGCTCCCAAATTGACACTCTTTTGTTTCGGGTCAGCCACTTCAATCTGAACAAGGAAAGGGTTACACAAGTTTTGAAAGACAAATATAGGAGCCTACATAATTACAAATGTTCATATACAGAAAATTAAATGAATGAAATATTATTTAATCACTCATTATGTATGTTTGCTAGCAAAAGGAAAAGAATCAGCAGGCCTATGGTTAAATGTTTCAAATATTTATTCGTTGCCAGCAGTAATTAAATTGTTTGTTTCTTTAGAACCCCCCCCCCCCCCCCCAAATATAAAATATGTCTCAAGTGACATCAATATTAATGCATTTAAACACCCCGTGCCAGACAGTGATTTCAAGTTCCCGCACAAAATAGAGAATCTACAACCTGTTACCTTATGTGAATATAGAGGTAACAATTTTCAATTGCTGCTCAATACCTTTTTCTTCCAATTCTAAGAAAAAAAGAAAAGAAACAATCCTGAAGTGAGAACAAAGTAGAACTTACGCAGGTTTGACTGTATTTGGAATAATTTTCTTTAGTCAGAACACAACGTTTCATGTTACTGTTGTATGTTGTACTGTATTGTAAAGCGCTCAGAGCCTGTGTACTTTATTCGGGTTGAGCGCTATATAAATGTCATTTATTATTATTATTAGAAGCTCTAGGAAGATGGAACTGCTTACCTTCATCTCACTGCCAGTGCCATAGAACTCCACCTTTTGCTTGGACAGTCCATTGATCTCAAAGACAACCGTCTCATGGTACTTGATGGGTTGGCGGGGGCAGAAGGTGAAAGGCACTTCCACTGTGTCATTAGGCGCCACCACGCAGGCTTCAAACTTGTAGGTGAGGACGCTACTCCCTTCATACAAGCAGTCCACACTGGAATGGGCAAAGAATATGACATGATGATATTGTCAATTTTAGATTTGATACATTAGATTTGAAATAATCTCTGTTGTGCTGTTGGTCTGAAATTTCTATTTTAAAGAACAATTGCATTTTAAATATAAATGCATCCTTGTAAGCCATACCAAAGGCCTGCTTCGCAAAAGACAATGAAACAAAAAGCATTAGAACTTAAATAGACAGACAACAATAGAGGAATTTTTAATTTGTACACTCACTGATGTGGCACACAGAAGCACATAGGAAAGCAAATGAAGCAGAAAGAGAGAGAAAAACTTGAGGGTCAGACAAGTTAGCTGGGACAATGGAGACCATCTAGAATCATGAAACCTGTTGAGTACTGAATAAATGTACAAGTCAAAATGGGTCCATGCCAGTCATCATGTTGCTTGATTATGATGCTGATGATCATGATGATTAGGATATGCTGGAGAATGAAGGAAAGTGAAATAATGTTCATGTAAAATTTTACGAAGAAATCTTCACTGTACAAAAAAAATAATCTCAGTACTGAATGAAACGGAATAGATATATCGCAGTATCTTTTACAATTGGATAGACTCAAGAATGGAATGCCTACCTGATCTCTTTCTTGTCCTTGTTGGTCATTCTGAGAACAGCTTGTTTAGTGGGCAGGTCCAGACCCGTCTTGTGAATGAAGCAGTTGCCAAAGTTGAATGTTTGGAAGGAGAAGTGGAGGCCTGGGGTGACTCCCAGACCAAGAATACTGATGTGATAGGTCGGCCCATTGGCCACCTGAGTGGAAGAAGAAGGGCAATTAATAAGGAAAAACTTTTGTAAAAAATGAGGATGCTCATGAGTTGAGGACTGCAGTACTAATAAGTTAAATAAAATAAAAATTGTACAGATATTTAAATCCCCTGGAAAGTACATACAAAGGCAAACAATAATCCCCCAACTTTCTACAGATTCAGATATACTGAGCAGATGTCCTCACTTTCTTTGAAACCCAAAGTAAATAAATAGTTGGGTATTTGTTTCGACATGTATCTAGGTAATCATTTGTCAGTTACACATTATAAAGGGATATGAAACTTTTTGGAGAAGGCGTCTATTCACATGTTTTGCTCATTGCTATTTTATTACTTTTTTTTTTGAAGATGTAGAAGAGTGATTCTTAAACTTCAAAAGGAAATATGTCCATACCTTTTCCTTAAAAACCTTTTAAGAGTCTTTGACCATCCCCTTTTACAACATAATTGAGAGTATCATTAGAAGATACCACTCCTTCTGGTGAGGACTGACAAAATTTTCTACAGCTTTTCTTAGTACCCACCTTGAGTGCTGCTTCACAACCTCGCACTGACATTCTCTTGCTTGGACAGAACATGAGAGAAATCTGCTGTGTTTCCCCACACATCACTCCGCCTTTATCAGGGGAGACGGTGATGGCATCTTTCCCGATGGAGTTGTCGCTGAACTCCCAAGTGTAGTCAAAATTGAACTTGCCAGAGTTCAGGATGAACAGATGTCTGATGGCATTCTCATTGACCTCAACCTGTAAACCAGAGCACAGTAAGACATGTTACAAAAATAGAAGGTAGCATAAGCTAGAAAACCATTCTTAATCATTGAGAGAATGTGAACAGAAATATTCTATGAAAGCTCAGAAACATCGACTCACGAAATGCCCAGCATGCACATAGTGAACAAGTACATAGTGAAATATGCATATAGTAAACAGATTAAAAGGTTCCGAATTATTAAAAAGATTCAAATTCTTTGCATTTTAAACAGGTGCATAACAAAAAGATTTCCACATCCTGTCAATTTACTTGCCCAATGTTCGTGCTAGACTGTATAGATAAATTACTGACCTCTCCAAAGTAATCTGACGAAGTTACTGATATAAAAAGCTTCACTTCTACACAGCATTATTGAATGAAAAAGCTGAGAGATTGGCCTCTCTAAAATTAACTTGATATAGTCCTTGCTGTGGTGAGTGGCAGTAGCGGCACAGTTTATTTAATATTTCGTATATTTCTGCAGCTCACCATTGAAGGAAAAATGCTAAAGTGAGAAACTGACCTCTCCAAAGTTGATCTGATTGAGTCCTCTGTCACTGAGCTCCACTCTGTTGCCGGTGGAATCCTCGCACTGCAGGATGCTGTTCATGGCATACCCCTCTGCCTTCACATTCAGTGTTATTGGAGCGACTTTCCGAGGTATAACGCAGCGCAGGTTAAAGTTGACTTCTTTTTCAGATGTCGGTGAGAAGAACAGGTCGACTGGGACACTAAAAAGAAAAAAAATAACAAGGGAAAATTGTGAATATTATGTACTGATACAATAGATATTAAAAACATTCAGAATTAGACTGCTGCACACCCAAACAAAAAAAAAGAACATATGCACTGAACAATGCCGTAGGAGTTCTTAATGCTGTAAAAATCTGCTTTGATGTTGTTGCTTTTTTATTTCACTAGAGTTTAACATCCAACTAGACATATGTAAATTGTTATGAAGGCCCAGTAGCCCGCTCATGGTATACCAATGGTAAGAAAGAAAGAAAAAAAAAGAATACAGAAATAACACGCATAATTGAGTAAATATCATACATGCAAATCTAGAAAAAAACTTTAAGATGTGTTATTCAATTGTTATCCACCAACTCATCAGGGACTGCAAGATTTTTAAAAGACCGAAAAACCCATGAACCTTAATGACAAAAAAAATGTTGCTGTGTTGATGGTAAAAAAACAACAAGCCAAACCAATCCCGGAGCAATAATTACCTTGACTTTGGTGGAATCTGGCCATGCATCGGCTGTACCCTGATGTGTGAGGCATAACCTTCTGAATGGCAAGAGTCCTCCACAAAGGAGAAGTTGAAAGGAGTCTCCTCATTGCTGTTGATGTAAATTGTCTCCACAGCCTCTCGACCTGCGTGTATTATAGACACGTAAATATGTATATAATAATATGTATAGAATGTTTCTTGATTTTTATTGGCTAAAATATTTTGCTTAAGAGTTTTCTGGATTACTTTGGGCTTTGAAATTGAGAGGGACATTGAAAAATGGTTCAAAGTTTACGTTTATCCTGCATCACTATAATGCAGTTGCGAGCGCCGTAAAACCCTATACTACTACTACTGCATCACTATTTGATCTACCGTTGAATACTTCACCATCTGTGATCACTAATTCTTGACTTGTGTGCACATTGTGACAACTTAGAAAAGAAAAGCAAGACCTACTTCAGAGAAAGCTTTTGATATGACCCAAAATGAATTTCCATCAGACAACGATGGTAATTCCAACAGAGATGAAGGTAAGAGATGTAATGATTTCCTTGTTGAATCTAGAACAGAAACACTATCAACAAACATAACTCTCAATTGCAGAATTGGATTTGCTTAAAATTTCAAAGTAAATACCTTCTTTCCAATTTCCCACTTTACAATATACAGTCAAACCTGTGTAAGACGGCCACCCATTATCAACAAGAAAAGTGGCCGTATAAGACAGGTGGCCGTCTTAGGCAGGACTGATCAAGATGAAGAAAACAAACCATTCCCATCTGAGACCCCAATCGAAAGTAGCCCTATTGTTGTTGTCTTTGTTGTTGTTGTTGTTGGTGGTGGTGGTGGTGGTTTCTATTTCGTTTGTAATTTTTATTTTGTTACTGATTTCGCGCAAGTGTGACAACGAAATGTATCAGACAAGGAAGATCGAGTGCCATGTTAAAACAAACACATGGGTCGCCACCACTCGGAGAACGAGCGACGCTTCTGTCATAAGTTCATGTTGACACCCTTTGTTACTTTGTCACAGACTGGGTAAACAGTGACAAGTCATCTCACTTACGATTTGTGTATGA